CCATCTAACATGTCAATGGTTATTCTAGTTCTCTACCAATATCCAAAATTTCAGAAATATACAAAAACTTCCTCAAAGTCTAGAATCATCACCTCCTACTCTTTTTTATTATTGTTATTATTATTCAAAAACAGTAAGTGGAAACCTCCATCTTGCTTCCCAACGAAGATGAAAAGGCCGAGGGGAAAGCAAAATCCATCGCAGCCATTGCTGTGAAGAAGTGCCTTAAATACATCTTCAATCATCATGCAAAAATTCACTAGATTTTTAGATTTTTCTTAGAATTCATCTAACATTTCCCAAAAAATAATCCAGCCTCTTTTTTGAATCCCAACTGGAACCAAAATGTTTTTCTTAACACCTTCATGGGATAAACAAAAATCTGAATACCAACCAAGCTTGTTAGACATTTTATGAACTATTAAGAATCCATTATCCCCTCTCAACTGTTTGGAGAATCTACCATTCTAAAGACTTTTCCAAGTCTGTGCAAAAGAATACTCCAACTATTGCAAAAGATAATAATAATAAAAACTAAATCCATTGAATCTTGATGAAAAAAGTACTAAAGTACCATTCCTTTTTTGCTCTTCCAGAAAATACTACAATTACTTTCCCTGCTGACCGTAACTATATATATATATATATATATATATATATATATATATATATATGTATCTGTATGTATGTCTAATGAATACAATAAGAATAATAATAAAAAAGACTTGAGCACTTTAAGAAAGTGATTATGAAATCCAAAAAGAACGAACCAACTTGAGAAAGATGAAACTAGAAGATGATGCTCAACTCTAAAGCAAAATCCAATAAGAAACAAACTGGATGAAGGTTAAGGGTTGGGGGTAGGAGAATAGAGGAGGGAGGGGAGAGCATTGGGAGGGGGGGTTTGGTTCTATTCTTAGTTCTTCATCTACTAACATTCTCAATTATACATATGCTGTCACGTAAAAAAAATGGTCATTTTCCTTTTAATGCTTTACTTTGACATCTAAAACTCTCAACTTATTTTGTCCTTGGCAGAACAAATGTACACATTACCTAAAATTATACTCTGCAGAAGAATAAGCCAACTTATTGACAACTGCATTGGACACAATTCTCTTTCTCATATGACAAAGCCTACAACATAACTAGGGTGTAATTGATCCATCAAAATGCTCTCATTTTGAAGATTTTAACTACTAAATCTACTGCAATCTATCGACTTAGGTTTTTGGTTTATTGATGATTTAACATGATATCAGAGTCGTGTTGTGGTAGATTTAACTATATCAACACTTCAACAGCAACCACTCAAAAAGCACACAAGCAATGGGGTCATGCAGAAAGTAGCAGCTAATACTCATCAACTAACCATCTCATATTTGGTAAGTGTTGGTAGCACCAAAATTTTGATAGATAAGTTATGGGCCAAACATAATATAAGTGCTCTCGACAGATGTGTGGAGTCCGTGAGAACTGTACATAAATTTAAGTATCGAACATAAAACTTATAATAATACAGGGTGGAGAAGAATTAACTTCATACCTGGTAATCCTTTAAGAACTTCCCAATCCTTCTCTGAGTCCACTTTGTTCTCTTGAAAACTTAGCAATTCATGGACCATTGATTAGGAAACATAATTTCAAATAACCGACAATAAATTCATGAGCAAAAGTTCTCATAGGTCCATTAATTTGGTAGGAGAGCCAAAGGATCATCCCTACTATCAACTACCATCAAACAAATGATGAACAAAGGTACAGGATATGAATTATTTACGCCACTTCAAGAACTGAATTTATGAACGAGTTCACTGACAATTTTGAAGTAACGAAAATGTACCAATGAAACTTAAAATACATATTGTTGTTTCCTATGCCCTATCCTCATGCATTAAGCGTGGATGGCCTTCTCTCTATCAAAAATTTCAAACGCACACACAAACCATGTATTAAGAGTTGAGGGCCCAATCATTTTCTCAAGAAAAAGGCTCTCGTTATTTAAAAGATTTATGACTGTTTTAGAAAAAAATTATGAACAAAGTTTTTTAATGCAGTTATACATATACATATACATACATACATACATACATATATATATATATATATATATATATATATATATATATATTAATGTAAGCAAAGTTAGTCTGTTTAACATTCTATAAAATTTGTTCTAATCAATAATGATCATTACTGCATCAAAACAGATTAAAGACCAGTGTAAACAAATAAGAATTGCAATGGTCCTTGACTCACATATGCTTCCTTCCTTGCATAAGAATGGAACTAGATTAAAATCCTCAGTATTGTGCCACGAGAAACGGCTATATGAATGCAGTATGCATAATATATGGTCAACAGCATTTTGGCATAGTAAAAATAATAATCTCGAATTACTCAGATCTTGTACTCATTACTGCACACTGCTATGTGTTTGGAATGTTATCGTGTGTTTTCCATACCTCGAATAGTTATCTATCAATGTGGTCATGAAACATTCCAAGTCCACCGCTAGCAGATATTGTTCGTTTTGGCCCGTTACGTATTGCCATCGGCCTCATGGTTTTAAAACATCTCTATTAGGGAGAAGTTTTCCCTTACAAGAAATATTTTGTTCCCCACTCCAACTGACGTGGGATCTAATAGGTCATGTCTGACTGGGATCTCACAAGTCATGTCTCTTGCAATAAAGACACGTTACAAAAAATACCGATACTGTGATCTTCATTGTTGATTCTAGAGAATTTCAAACTGTAAGGCATGGAAACCTTTTGTTTGTATGTTCAGCTTACTTTCTATAGTTCGCTATATATCATCCACCAACTTCTTGACTATTCGTCATAATATCTCCAAGATTCCAATACATCATACATGTAAGCTTTATCTATAATGATAAAAACATAATTACACATAAAAACATAATTATACCAGCTGTTCCTGTGAAAAGTTAAGCAATCCCATCCAAAGAGCCAAACCTGAGCGAATATAACGAATATTATACCGGCTGTCCCTGTGAAAACTCCCCAATCCTTCTGAAGTCTACTTTTCTCTTTTTGAATACTTGGAAATTCACTGTCCATTTCCGATAAAAACATAATTACAAATCAACGCATTGAAACTAGCAATTCATCCGCCATTACGATTCGAGCGAAACAGAGAAAAGAACCAGAACACAAGAACAAGAATGAGATTGCGACAGAGATAAAGGACTACCAAGCGTATACCTGCGAAAAAGAGAGTGAGAGCAGCGAAGTTGGATCCGTGTCGAACCGCTGCGATCCTTTGCCCCGAGGTAGCTGGAGCTGTAGTGAAATTTTACATAGATACGCAACTCTCTGAGAGAGCAATACGAATCTTTCATCGGAGAAATCGATAACGACCTTTTCCAGAATGAGAATGCGAAGGTGAGAGAGATGAAGGAAGGCCACGCGGAGCGAAAGAGGAAGAAAGCGATTCCAGATATTGATCTGAACGTTGTGAAGAGAGGGCGAAAGCGCGCGCAAGAGAGATTGTCGGGCCGTTTTGATCGCGCAAAAGTTTTAAAAAACTTAATTATCTTTTAATCTTGTAAATTCTAATTTACTCCAATTCTATCTCTAACGAATTTAATTTTCTAATTTAAATTTAATCTCAACATGATTATAAGAATATTTTTCTAATATTGGGTCATTACCATCCAAAATTGTCATTCAAAAATCACCTATTTAAATATCATTATAAATAATATTAAGCACAATCACAATTTTGATGGCAGCGAACTTTGTGATTGTGCGACACTCACTTTCCAACAACAAGTGAGCTAAGCTAATTCGTTCTTACGTCGCCTACGGCCAAGCGACGTATGCTCGAGTCTCTAGCCTTGGTTTAAAGAGAAAGTTTTAAAAAATGAGGGCAAAAAGAAATTTTTGAAAGAGACGTTATATATGCAATCAAGAAAGTAACAACAGCTCACAGTATATAACTATTGGTAGGGAGAAGTTGATATCTAGTCATATCCCCTATAAGTACATTTTTAGGCATTTCATGTCTGTCAGTCTTATACATGATTTTTCCGAAACGTCATAATTCATAGAAATACAGAATACACAGAAGTAAAACACTAAAACAAGAAAAGACATAAAAGGTTTGACTTGTTATGGGCATGCGCCCATGGGCAACACACCTTGGACGAGCATGACCGTGACAATGAGCACACGTTATTTTTTGTTCGGTTCAAAGACTATTTTGAACTATTTTTTTCAAAATTTACATAATCGAACCACTGCCTCTAAGTCCTTAACATGCACACGTTAAGACCTTTTATCTACTCGTATCATGTTCTATTTCACTCTCGGGGCTTTTTTCACCCCCTTCTCTTACCGTACTATTCACCATCAGTCACCTAGGAGTATTCAGCCTGATAAGATCGGTCCTTGTTGCTTCACACGGGTCGTTAAAATTGTTCCTTTGATTTTTTTATTATTTAAAAAAAAAACGTTATGATTATAAAATAAGCTTTTCAATGTTCTCTTCCATCCCAAGCATACAATAAACCACAGGCATTTACTCACCATCGACTCTGATTCAATGGTTGCCTTTTCCCTTTTTATATTTATTTATTATTTATTATTTATTAATTATTATTTTCCATTTCCAAATTTCAGAATTTGGGCTTCTAAAGCCCTGTTTGGCAAACGTCTCGGCATAGCCATAATAAAACGTACGCAAAAAGACATCCCCACGTGACGCACGCGTGCCGCAGCTTCTTTCAGTATAAACAAAACCATCCAATCCATCACACAGTCCTCCGATCACAGCCGATACCATACACGTGAAAATATCACAACCGTCCGATTATTATCTGAAACGTGTACGCCTATTAGACCCGGCGCTACATTGGGCGTAATTTGTTTGCACTGCAGAGTATTATTTATCTGCTCCGGTTTCCGGGTCGGGCTCGGCAATGAGGAGCAAAACCGGTAGCTTTTTGGTGATGTGCAGTGGAGTATGGAGTGGACACGTTGGTTGGACGTAAAGTCTTGGAGACCAAAAACCCCTAAACATTTCGATTTCGATTTCGATTTTGATTTTTATCTTCTTTTTCTTTTTTTTCGCTCTCTCTCTTGGTGCGATATTTTGGCCGTTTCCATATATTTTTCTATCATCTTTTATAAATCGGGGATTGCTAGATTTTCTCTGAAAGAAAATGTGATTGGAGATCGTTAGGGTTTCGGATTCTTTGTTCCCAGTTGTCTATTTGTGTGACGGATCGATCTCTGTTTTAATGGTGGCGTTTTGTTTTCGCTCCTCGGAACCGGCGATTTGATATGCGAGTGGTGAAGGTTTTCTCGGGCTTTGAAGGTGCAGTTTTATCCTTCGGTTAATTTTTTGTTTTCTTTTGAAGTTTGTGGAATTTGTTAGACCTTACGGCTAATTGATTCTGATATCTTTCGTTTGATATCTGTAATATTAGGTAGGAGATACGAAATCATTGATCTGTTTGCATTTGATTTAGCATTTTTTTTGAAATATTTGTTGAGGTTCTGTAAATTTCTAGCAGTTTTCAGTCGTTCGAATTCGCGCGTAAGAGCTGCTGATTAATTTGGATTGATGAGGAAGAAACGGAAAGGAAGCGAGACTGATGGACCGTTAAATTTACGAGATAATGTAACAGAATCTCATGATTCGCGATCTTCTAAACTGAAGGCTCATTACTCGTTAGAAGATTACACGAGGTTGAATAAACGATGCAAGGAAGATGTGGGTATTGAACCAGTTCCTTCATGCAAGAGTAGGTTTGCCGGCATAGCTACAGCTCCACCCAGTGGGAGTTCTTCCCTGATTCTTCCTGGTAGAGGTTTGAAGAGGAAGATCGGGTGCATCGACGTGGCTACTCAAATTGGGCGTAAACATAACATCGAAAATGATTATGTTTCAGGCGAGACGATCGGACATGGAAAATTTGGTTCAGTTTGGCTGTGTAAATGTAAGGTTAGTGGAGCTGAATATGCTTGCAAGACCTTAAAGAAAGCAGAGGAGACCGTTCATAGGGAAGTGGAGATAATGCAGCACTTATCTGGCTACCCAGGCGTTGTGACGTTGCTAGCAGTGTACGAGGAGTCCGAATGTTTTCACCTGGTTATGGAATTGTGCCGTGGAGGCCGTCTGGTTGATCAGATGGTCAGTGAAGGTCGATATTCAGAGCATCGAGCAGCTAATATACTCAAGGAAGTGATGCTGGTTATAAAGTATTGTCATGATATGGGGGTTGTACATAGAGACATAAAGCCTGAAAATATTCTTCTCACAACATCTGGAAAGATAAAGCTTGCAGATTTTGGCCTGGCGACTAGGATTTCATATGGTATGCATTCTTTAATCTGTATTAACGAGTTCGTGTTTGTATGCTTCTCTTTAGGTATTAGTTGTATGATCTTCTTCGCGGTCTTCGTTTGACAATATGACTAATGACATGATGAAGTTTTTTCTTGGTAAGATGTAGGAAAAAAAGGAGAACATTCTTGGGTTTAGTTAGAACCTATGTAAGCGTGGAGTTCGGTAAACTTTAACGTCTTCATTCGGTAAACATACCTCACTCTGCTGGTCCTTAGCCTTAACAGCAGCCACATTTGCGTTCGTAGCTACAATAGTTTTACCTTAGACAGAGCGAGAGGATGCTTATAAAGAGATAGAGAATGCTTTGAGAGAGTTGGAGGCGGGGCGGGGCTTATATGTCACAGGGCTAAGATTGAGGTCCTAACAACATGCTTGTAAAGAGATCAGTATGCTTACATAGATTGTTGTTTTCGACAAAAAACCGATTTACTTAAGTGAGTTTTATATATTGATTATTGTTAGTATGAGCGTGCGTGAATGTTGATGTTTTTACTGCTTTTTCGATTAAGTTTCAAACGTCTGCCTACTTATGTTAAGTCATTTGATTGATTAATGCAGGTCAGAGTTTAATTGGTTTGGCTGGAAGCCCAGCTTATGTAGCCCCTGAAGTGTTGTCAGGAAAGTACAGTGAGAAGGTGGATATTTGGAGTGCTGGTGTGCTCCTCCATGCTCTTTTGGTTGGCGCTCTTCCTTTCCAAGGCGACTCATTAGAATCAGTTTTCGAAGCAATAAAGAACTCTAAGCTCGACTTCCACTCGGGGATGTGGGAGTCTATATCTAAACCTGCCCGCGATCTCATTGGGAGAATGCTGACAAGAGATATTTCATCTAGGATAACAGCAGAAGAAGTCTTAAGTAAGTTTATTTTGCCACTTGATTTCATTCCCGGATGCACGTAATCAATAGCTAACACGATCTCAACTGTCTTAAAAAATGTACTCTCGACCTTTCTTTATCTCCAAGAGGGGAGAGGGGTCGGGGTTTCCCCACATATTGTTGAACTTTGCTTAGAATACAGATCGATGCCAATCCTTATTTCTTATTGTAATCTAGTCTGGATTGTGATGGTGATGGTGATGGTGATGTTTCAGGGCATCCCTGGATATTGTTTTACACCGAGCGCACGCTCAAGACTCTTCCGATCAAACTAAAACTGAAGAATCAAGAATCTTGCCAACCGTCTCCAATTTCAGCCAAAACTAAGTCTGACAGAAACAGGATTGACAGTGCAGCTAATTTGACCTCCCTTAACGAAGTCTCTGACCTTTCCTCATCTGAAAGTTGCAACGCCAATGGCGAAGATGACGAGGATTGCTTTCTGGTGGATGCCCTTGCTACAGCTATTTCACATGTGAGAATATCCGAGCCAAAGAGAAGTAGGCTGTGTGTTCCTACAGGCCCTATCGAGCAGCACAGCTCCTCTAACATGAAAGCTAACAATCTTTGTAAAGCGTTTTGATATCCTGCTGACAGGCCAGCGACATCGTCGATATTGTTCTCCGTTCTCCTGTTTTTTTTTTTTCCCCTAAGCTGGGGGAACTACTACTTACAGGTAACACAACCCGGATGAATTCCTCCAAGTAGATGATAAGAAGGTGATTTTCCAGGCAGACATCAAAGCAAATCAATCCATGATGAGATGATTGTGTGATTAATATGCAATCTGCGTTAGTCACTGCCTGAGCTGCATTAAATCTGATTAGTAGTGTGTGGTTTTGTGCTTTTTAAGTCTAATAATTGTCTTGACATGAACTGACAAAATTTGATGTACATATTCTGTAAATACAGCAGTAATGAAGAGTGCATTTTGATATCTCAGGTCACCAACCCCCCAAATTGGCTGCCACTGCCACACCAAATCTAAACTAGTTCTTGAAAATTTAAGATTTATATTTATTTAATTCATGTTTCTTTAACTGTCTAATATATCTCTAAAATAAAATTTGTTCAATTTTAGATATAAATTTAATAACGATATTATTCAAACAATTTCTTAAATAAAAAAAAAAAAAAGGCACGCTACTTGAGAAATCCAGACTCTTTTGATTTTGATATCTAAAAAAGAATCGATTTCCTTCCACCGTTGATTCAAATAACACTATGCTTAGCTCCCCGCTCATGAAATGGGTAGTCCCCGCTCATGAAATGGGTAGTACCCATATCAGTTAAGAGGTCTAGTTTTTTTTTTTCTCTCTCCTAAAATTCACAATAGAAATTAGAAATAACCTTAGGAATAAATGAATTAACGAATAATACTATAGTTATGAGGCACAATACAAATCTTTATAGCGTATAAAAGTATACCAAAAATGTTCCTATAAGAGAAAATCAAAAGCCTATTTTCACTGTCCCATATTCTAAGCTGAGGGGGAGGCAGCGATAATATATTCAACATCATTCCTGTTTCTTTTCCCTTTTTTGCCGGCCAGCAAACTGGTTTTTCATTCATAATGAGGAAGAAAATGAGGAAGAACATTCATTTTCTGGATATTTTCATCCACATGTACACTATAAAGAAACAGATCAATGCAAATATGACAACCTGGACGACGTGATTTGATCCGTTCTGTATGATTTTTTTGTTCAATCTTCTTACATTGTCCTTCACCCCTGCTTGAGCTTTGATCAATGTCATTTGCTGCAACAAGACCGAAAACAGATGATCGGATATGTTAGAACTAAAAAAATATTGGCCATTGCACACGTTTGGAACCGATACAAGTTGATATGAGACTGGTTTTCTTTAGTTAGTTTCTTTTAATCTGATAGAGCTCTATGCATTTTATACTGAAGTTATCAAGGGAACCGTTGATTTGTTCGTTCTTTTTGTTCTCTATTTTGGTCCACTCTATCTTTTGGCAAGAGGTAGTGTAACGGTTCAAGCCCATCGTTAGCAAATTGTATCAAATATGAGACTAGTGGTGCGTTTGAGACGTTACAAATGGTATCAGAGCCAGACATCGGGCAATGTGCCAGTGAGGAGGCTAAGCCTTAAAGGGGAGTGGACACGAGGTAGTGTGCCAGCAAGGACGCTGAGCCCTGAAGGAGGGTGGATTGTGAGATCCCACACCAGATGAGGAGGACAACGAAACTTCTTTATAACGGTATGAAAACCTCTCCCTAGCAGACACGTTTTAAAAACCTTGAAGGGAAACCCGAAAGGGAAAGCCCAGAGAGGACATTAACTACTAGCGGTGGGCTTAGAGGATAAAAAATGAGGCAACCTGTATAATTTTACTCCATTCCCTGCCATCATCCCAAGAGGAATCAATTAATTGGAATAATTAACACTCCGATCCTTGTACCAATGTAATTTTAATAAATGCAATATTTAAAATTTTAATTCTCATTCTATCCATCATTTTCCATTTTCTCAAGTAATCAGGACCTAAAGAGTTTTCTCACAAGTAAGAACGTCAGTAAGTAAAAACCAAGAATTGAATCAACATACAAAAAACAAATGGAAATATGACAACTATGAATAGCATTAAGAAAAAAATTGCATACCAATTGATCTAGAAAATCATGCTGGAACTTTGCTTCTGTCCCAATGTCATGAGCAATCTGTAAAGATCAAAAGCCGAATATGGAATTAATTAAACGAATTGGCATATATAATCTGTACAGGATCTCAACAAGATTAAGATTATGATAAAACTATGAGACTTTTGGACCAGAAAACATTACAAAATCTGTTCTTTTTTACTCAATAAGAAACAAGATGAGCTTTCGTCGATAATATGAGACAGAAGGGGCTTCTCAACATTGACCGCCATACAATTAGGCATGTACCATCTCAAACCAAACCCACTAGAACGCTTAGCTCAACGTTTAGAAACAAATCTTTCTACAAATAATAACAATGTTATTGTAAGAAGAAAATTGGCCAGTCAAGCAAAGATGCCCCTCATTTTCGAGATTTTGATGGCATACAACTGGTGTGTTGGCAAACCAATTTCCTAGACCAACTGTTGTAGAAACCAAATCTCCACTCAAGGAACAAACCATCAGGCTGCTAATGTACAACTAAGATGCTGAAGAAGAAGAAGAAGAAAAAGAACAGGAAAAAAGAAAATTGCATTCGGAGGCAAATTGTAGAGAAAAATGATACGAGCCAAAAACAGCGGAGAAAGACGTCCAAGGAACAACTCCAACTTAGCAAAAAGAAGATGGACAATAATAATCAAAAGTTGTTGGAGGTGGGGGGAAGGTGAGCGCTGCATTACAGCCACTGCCAGAAAACAGAATGACCATGGATGAATTCGATAAGAGATTTTAGAAGTCTTTTAATGGTAGTTGATAGAGAATTGTGCACGGTTCAAACTGTGGTTTGCCTCGTGTTTTTGTGTCTTGAATTTGCAGGGGTTTTATTTTCCAAACTCATTTTTAAGAAGGAAAACAAGGTAAGCAATTAGTTCGTCTGAATTTTGTTGATCATTTAATAATGAATGCTATGCAGTTTGTGTTTCAGTAGAATTCTTCAGACAATTATAATTTATATTTATATGCTTGTTACATTACTATTACGCATTCCTTTCATTGCCTATGATACGTTTTGAATGGTGATGAGCCAATAGACAAGAACAGCAACTACAAAGACTCGTAAATATGGATTCAACTTGTACCAGTCGAATGTAATGTATCATATATTCCGTTCTTCTAAGAAGGGAGGGAAACTCACAAAATTTCACAGAAAGAAAACAATGTCTGTGACCGCCATGATAATGAAATCGATCACTAAGCACATAGCATGCACCTATACCATGTGGGATGTATTGATACAGAACGTACAGCTCGTAAATTCCATTAAGAAAGGAACCACGAGCAATGCAAATTCCAAGAGTACCATTACAAGTAGATCAACCTCGAACATAGCTAAATTCAAATATTATAGGAGCACCGCAAGAAATCTGAAGATTTCTGTTCAGATTTATCTCGAGTACTTTATATCTAGTTATTCGATGAAGTTACCAGCACCGAGTGCTTTCAATAAAGGCTTAGCTGCGTGTTCTAGTTTGCAATTCAATAAACCTAAGTGCAAAGCTGTACCATAGATTAACGTAAAACCATAATACTCACATTTCTAAGCCTTTTAACTTGACTGTGAAGACCTACGATCTCGTCGTCCAAGTCCCCTTGCATCGGATCGATCTGAAGTTGAATTTCATCGGAAGCAGCCGCCGTTCTTGTGCTAAGCCCCTCCCTGAATACCTCAAAACAAAGGACGATCGCAATTAAGCGACATGAATTGAGTAATCATCATTCTTAACACCGGTAAACATAGAAACAATTTGAGAAATTCCCCAAGACAAGTGACAGAAAACTCGCAGTTCTTGCAATACCTCTATTTCTGTTAATGTACTGGAAGTTAGCATGATAAGAACGATGACAATACCTGGAGCGATAAGGAGCAGCGTTGCCATTGTAGAAGGAACTACCGCCACGAAACGAACTGGACGCCATTAGATACAGAATGAAAAGATAATCCGAAATCGAATAATCTGATCGGAAACAGACGAATTGCGAGGATCAGTTTCAGAGTCTTCGGTTCGGAAGGTGAGAGCACAGAGCAAATCGGGATTTTCCGACTCCCGTTTATCAGAGGCGCGTTGGCGAGGCGTAAAGGGCGGGTGAATGTTGGTTCGGTTCTCCAATATGAAATAAACCGGGTTCGAGAATTTGAGACCGGTATATCCTTAACTTTGTATAGACCGGTATATTCTTTTATTATAATAAAATTTACAATAAGTATAAAATTACGAGAATTTAAAACTAAAATAGAATTGTAATTTATTTTAAGTTTCACTTTTCACACCACAAAAGGCGAAATTTTATTAAAATTAATTAGAGGGAATATTAATCTTCCTTTTCGAGTTCTTTGTCACTTAGTATAAATTCAGCATGCAATCGAGGCGCGAAAGCCCAGGCGTCGGCCCCTGCGATCACGATTGGCGCCAGTCCAGTAGCAGCCTCTCCCCTATCTCCGAGCGATGCGAAGCGGGCTGAGCCTTCAAATCTCTCTATAGGAATGCTTCCTGTTCTTCGCAAAATCCAGTCAGCGACACGCTTGTTTTTCATCCACTCGTTCTCTCTCAAATCGAACTCAACGCCCATGATTTCTCGACCTTTTCGCTCTCTCCAAATCCCTATCTTCAAGCTCCCACACGTTAGTTCTCTTTCTCTCTCTAGATTGATATATTTTTTAGCTGTTGTCTGTTTTTTCCGCCTTTTTTGCTAATGATTTGTGTAGTAAATTCTGTTGTTAGTGTTTTTGGGCCTGATTCAAGTTCTGCAATGTTGTAAATTGTCATGAAGATTGAATTCTTATTTAGTTTAAATTAATATTCTTATTTATTTTGGTTATTAACTCTTTCCTAACAATTTTGATTAATATTCTCATTTATTCAGTTAACTTATGGGAATGAGTATTACTGTAGTAATAAAAAGGCTTGTCTAACATTGTTTTGAGGGGTAAAGTCATGTGGAGTCGTGTGGAGTCATGTGAAGTCATTGTTATTTTGTATTTGCTTGGAGACGATTGAGAGGAACTTTGCAAGAGAGACTTTGTAGTGTGAGAGTAGGAGAGATACACTTGTAAGCACCTTGGTTATAGTGATTGGCTACCACTCGTGGATGTAGGAAAATTTCTCCTTTTCAAACCACATAAACCTTTGAGTCACTTTGTTTAATTTCTGTTATGGGTGTGTGAGTGCGATCGATCTTGTTTCTGCTTTCGCTACAACAATTGGGTATCAAAAACATATTTGGTTATGACATTTTGTGTTGAGATATGATTCAAAGTATTCAAAACTGAGATATGGTTTAAAGTATTGAGATATGGTTCAAAGTATTCAAAGTACCAAGATTTTAGGAGATTGTCAGTACATTTGAATTTATCTAGGATTTCCATACTTTTGAATTTATCTAGGATTTCCATACTTTACTATTTCTAGTTAGTGTATAAGCCTATAAATATTGAAATTGTGTAACTCTTAAAGTAATTGAGTGAGAAAACAATAATAAAACCATCTTTTATCTATTTTATCTTTTTCTATCTCTTTCACTATCCCTTTCCCAACATTTTGCACAACAAGCAGAGAGCATTTTCTGTTGTAGCTTTTTAGACCCAACATGTGGTATCAGAGCATTTTGGTTGTAGCTTTGGATACAACAAGTAGTATCATAGCATTGTTTGTTGTAGCATTCCACTACAACAATTGGGTATCAAAGCATTTTTGGTTGTAGCATTCTGCTGCAACAATTGGATATCAGAGCTTACATGCAATTCGTTAGTTTTGCTCGATGTCTCGTATTGAAGCTATGCAGAATCCGGAGGTCATTTCGTATCTGACGCAGCGGGAAGCCGCCGAGGTTGATGGATTCTCATGGGTCCTCTCGGGTTCAGCTTCGACCAATTGATGGTCAGTGTTGCTATTGTTGCTTTATTTCTCGATGTTCTTTTGCTGGTTTAAAATTTTTTGGTTCTCATTGGTTTTTATTCTATACTGAACATTACTGAAAAGTTGAATGGTTTAAATGGTCAACTATTCCTGTGAGATTTCATGATTGGATAGGAAAATGAAGCATTCCTTATAAGCTTAGGATTGGACTGATTGGATAGGAAAATGAAGCATTCCTTATAAGCTTAGGATTGGACCACTTGTTTTCTCAATCATATGGAGTTGCCCCAAAGGAGTGGCATGTTGGTTAGGGTCGAGGCTGGTGGGGTTATAGCTCAACTGTTAGTGCCGAGTTGAGGTGCATGAGATGAGATCTTATGGTGTCTTCTCCCTCAAGGTTATTGTGTGCTCGAGTGAGGCTGGTATGATAGGAGAGGGGAAGATGGGATTCCGAGTGAAAAGTTTAGTTCCCACCTCATTAACACAAAGGGTGAGATAGGCCTCCAAATAGGAATAGAATAGTAGAGATCAATGGAGCTCCGACATGGTCAGTGAGCCTCTAAATTCCATATCAATCTAAGATTATTATTTCTAGTCCTAATTAAAAGTCTCCTGTTTTGACACCAAAAAGAAATGAAGAAATATTATTTTTAGAAGGGATTGAGCTTTCTTATTTTTAGAAGAAATAACTCCTCTCTTATTGTTGCATCGTTGTTTGCAGGTATACAAATTATGAAAGTCGTAAAGCACATAATCTAGCTGAAAATCCACGTGATTCGCTTCTTTTCTTCTGGGAAGGTTTCCATAGGCAGATGAAGCAACTTTCACCAAGCCCATCGTTAGCAGATATTGTCTTCTTTGGACTTTCCTTTTCGGGCTTCCCCTTAAGGTTTTAAAACGCATCTGCTAGGGAGAGATTTACACACCCTTATGAGAAATGCTTCATTCCCCTCTCCAACTAATGTGGAGAGCCAAATTTTGAATGGTGTGCCAACGGGAACGCTGGCCCCCAAAAGGTGGATTGTGAGATCCAACGTTTGGATTTTTAAAACTATAAATAGCCATTTTAATAATTCAATAAGGAAGATGTTACAATAAAATTTGAAACCTCATTTTTGTGTTTTGCAGAAGTTTGATTCCATAACCAAAATCCTGGGGAGGATACAGGCTTAAACCAGAGCATTTTGAGTTTAGGCAGGGGCAGCCATCTGGGCTGCATGACAGGTTATTTTCACCTCTCTAAGGGCAAGTGGTTTACTAATTCTCTAGTTGTGCTGTATGTCATTGGCCAATAGATGTGTTATAGCCTTGCAAGCTTTGTGTTAAAATTCTTGGTCAAGTGAGTGGATTAAGTTGGTTCTTTGATTGGCTATTGATTAGATCTATAGGGGTATGAAAACCTCTACCTAAAAGACGTGTTTTAAGACCGTGAGGTTGACAGTAATACGTAACGAGCCAAAACAGACAATATTTGTTAGTGGGGGGTTTGAGCTGTTACAAATGGTATCAAAGCTAGACATCGGGCAGTGTGCTAGTGAGAACGTTGACCCTCCAAGAGAGGTGAATTGTGAGATCCCACATCGGTTGGAGAGGGGAACAAAACATTTCTTGTAAGTATGTGGAAACATTTCCCTAGTAGACGTGTTTTAAGAACCATGGGGCTAACAACGATACATAATGGGCTAATCTTTTTATAATGTTTTAAATGTGATATCTTTTCCGTTCTAAAGTTGTAAAATTCGTGGTCTTTTAGTAACGACTGACCAGTACGTGTTCGTACAGGTTGCAATATTCCCCTTGCGAGACGGACGGAAAAAAAAGTATGGAAAGTAGAACGATTAGCTCCCTGATTGGCTCCTCCATTCACGTACCTTCTTTTCTCTTTAGCCCCTTTTGTGTTTGACGCCAAAGTTGCTGTCTAATATTTGACTGTTGCATAATTTACTGAACTATTGCAAGTTTTACAGCTTCCATAAAACTATATGACATGTTCATGGAATTTCGGCCTATTTTAAAACAAAATAATAAATATGGACTTTTGGACGGGAGATGTAGAAATCTCTCTTTAGTAGACCCGTTTTAAGACCGTGAGGCTTATGACGATATATAACAGGTCAAAGCGGATAATATCTACTAGCGGTGGGCTTGAGCTGTTACACAAATGCATACGGACTAGGCAGAGGTGCATAACTCCACCCTAAACAACCTTTTATTTCTTGCATATTGATGGCTTACTCCTTGCATTACGCTCAGGACTATTTTGTCCACCTCGAGGTCAACTTCGGGAGACCTCGTAGATTTTTAATGATTCTTTCTACATAAGGGTTAGAGACAAGGTGTGAACTCTAGCCTTGGAAGGATTTGTATTTATTTAGTCTCTGAACTTTTATTGTCTATTAGACAACTTTAAAAGTTAAAAAGACTACGAAGACACAAACTTCACCACCCCGGAACCATTTTTTATCTCTTTTTCCTTACAGGATGAATGTAATGAGTGCAATAAAAGTTGGATGGGGACACATTTGCTTAGCAAGATAATGCCATTGATGAATGTAAGGCTTTAGTCCATTTTGCTTTTTGAAAGTGTTTGGAATATTAGAGAATGGTCGTAGCTCATTGATAGGATTTCATTGAATAGGGAAAGCCTTGGGCATCAAAAAGGCGTATGGGTATCATCTCATATTATCTTTTTGTACTGCCAATTTTAAATCTGATAGGCTTGATTCAGGCCCTGCCAACTTTTGTGATTTCACCTCTTAAAAAAAATCATAACCGTAGCCAAAAAAATATTGATAAATTAACATATTTTTTTTAAGGACCGAGAATAAAGTTCGTGTTGGTTTGTGGGATTAGTGTTTACTCTTATAATGAAGACTAAGTAACATGACTATATTGTTTGCTTTGGCCTATTACGTATTGCCATCAGCCACTGTCATGTACTGTCGTTAGTCTCATGACTCTAAAATGTGTGTAGTAGAGAGAGATTTATGTGTAGTAGGGAGAGATTTCTATATTCTTATAAGAAATATTTCGTTCTTTCTTCAATTGATGTGAGATCTTACAATCCACTCTTCTTGGAAGCTAGTGTTCTTGATGACATATTGTTCAGTGTCTCATTTTATAACAGCTGAAGCCTATCATTAGCAAAAAATGTCTGTTTTGGTCCAATACTTATCACTTTCAACTTCACGGTTTAAAACACCTCTAACATAGAGAGGTTTCACACCCTTGTTTTTTTCCTCTCTCCAATCGATGGATGCCAAATTTAAATTCAAATTCCGGACATTATACTTACCGTCCCAACCCAATTCCATATATTGAAAGAAAAAAAAGCTTAACAGTAAATTATGCTCTCTCATTTTCTCTCTCTACAGGACTTCGTATTCATTCACAATGTTACTTTTTTTAGCTTCCGTTGACCTACTTGAAGCTAAATTTGACTTTTTTTATAATAAAAAATCTTGATATTTGTTTGAAAGGTAAAATTGACTGAGCCACTTTCTTCCCCCTCTTCAAAATGGGCATAGCTTTTATTATTACCCATCACTCTCAAGAAATTATGATATAAAATAAATAAATAAATAAATAAATAAATAAATATTTTTTATAATGGATTTTGGGCCAATTTTATTTAATATTCCACAAGTGGGAATTGTTGGGTCAATTAGGAAGTGGTTTGAGCTTTTGCAACAGAGATTCATTTATTCCAATTATGTGTAGTTGAATGATTTCAACGCCACTCACTCAACATCTCTTTCACAACCCTTTCAACCTTCTAATATAAACCATTAATTAATGGAGCTTCACCTAATTCCCTCTCCTTTTTTGTGCCCCTAAAAATCTTCACTTCCCCTATTAAAAAAAAAAAAAAGCTCAAACCGTGGTGATTATATTACTCTCTTCATATGATAGCTCAACCTTACTGCTAAAAGGTATTATCCGTTTTGGCCTGTTACGCATCCACCCCCTTGGGGCCTAGTGTTCTCGCTGGCATACTGCCTGATGTTTGACTCTGATACTATTTGTAACAGTCCAAGCCCACTGCTAGCTAATATTGCCCGCTCGTTACGTATCGCGGTCAGCCTCACAGTTTTAAAACACGTATGTTAGGAAGAAATTTTCACACTTTTATAAGGAATACTTCGTCCACCCCCTTGGGAGTCCAGCATTCTCGCTCACACATCGCCTTATGTCTGTCTCTAATACTATTTATAACAACCCAAGCCTACCGTTAGTAGATATTGTCCGCTTTAACCCGTTATGTATCACTGTTAACCTTACGGTTTCAAAACACATCTGCTAAGAAGAGGTTTCCATAATGTTATAAAGAATGTTTCGTTCACCTCTCAAACTGAGATGGGATCTCACACAATAATAACAAGATTTACGGCTTATTTGAAAATAGAAACAACTAAATTAAGGCTTTTATAATATATTTTTCTTAATTTAAAATCATTGGAGAAAATAAAAATCATAGGAAATTCAAAAGGGATTTGGATTTTTGGGGCATTATATTATTTGTCTAAGCTTTTAAGGAAGAGACTCCTTACCAATTAGAGTGGAATTTTATGTTTTCTTTACAAAAAATCATAGAAATTTTTTCCTTTTTTATTTTTTTTTAGTAAATTAAATATTTCTTAAAGGAAATATTTTCCATTATGGCCCATAATTTGACCATTGAAGAGACATTGATAAGATTATTTGATTTAGAAAATAATAATGATTTATTCTATATACATTGCTTTATAATTGGGATAAGATGAGGCTTTGTACTTTGAAGTTACATTTGATTTTGACTAAATATGTATCTAAAATTTAGGATAAGTTTAATTAGTCAACATTTTATCGTTTTCTTTATTGAACGTTAAAACAAAAAAAATTGTAGTCACACGTTAAATATTTCATATATGATAGAAAAAATATATATATATATATTAAACCGGTAATTTCGAAAGTAAAATTTATTATTCTAAGAGTCCATAGTTTAATTATTATTTTAAAAAATTATATTGAATTAGGGATAAAATACTTCAATTTCGTCTCCAACCTTAATAAAATCTCAATCCCTAGATTTTGGAAGTTTAGTCTATTTGGACCTTGAATCTTTATGTAACGCCCTATGTTAGAGATTTGAAATCCAAATTTGACACCTAATGACCCGACATTCCCTTACGACATGATCATGTTACCTAACTTCGCTTCTTAAGAGTGAAGGCTATCCCAAAAACCAACACAAAGTTTTTACAACATACTTTGTCACCCTTTATTTATTTTTTTAAAAAAAAAAAATTCTTAACGTTAATTTATGAACGAAAGCCGTCTAACAACATTTCATAAATTAACTATTTTAAAAATTTACGAGTATTTCCTAAGGTATTTTTTTAATTTTGAAAATAGTTCAAAGGTAATTTTAAAAAAATTGAAAAGCATTCTCTATTTTTTTTTTTTTTTTTTAAAGTTTAGGTATTTGAATATTTTTTTAAATTTTTTTTAAAGAAATTAGAATAATTTTGTAATTTTTTTTAATAGTATTATTGAAACTTTTAAAAATTTATATTTATGGATAATGAAAATAAGTTTGGTAAAGGATTGGAAAAGCAGGCGAGTTTAGTGGGTGATCTGAGTGCTTAGTTAAGCCATGTGGAAAACAGCTCATACGCCCTTCTTCGGACATCACTCACTTCCTCCCCACTACTTCCCACTTCTCATGTGCCTATTTATCCTTTGTCTTTTACTATTTTTTGTCTCATCATCTCAATAATTTCCATTTTTTTTTCTTTTTTTTTTATAATTATGTTCAATATATATATATATCATTTAAATATAAATCAGTAGTTTATCATTCTTCTTCTCTCAATATCCTTTCTCCTTCTGTTTCACCACATGCATACAATGTATTTGGTTATGTTGAGAATGGCATTTCTTTGACTACACCCACATCCAAAACAGCCTTATTCCCCCGAGCCATACTTATCGCTACATACAAGTCACGTGGCCCAACTGTATAGTGTCATGTGTGAGATTCCACATCAGTTGTAGAGGGGAACGAAACATTCCTTATAAGGGTGTGGAAACCTCTACCTCACAGATGCATTATAAAACTATGAGGCTGATGACAATATGTAAAAGACTAAAACGGTGATAAGTTTGGTGTTACAAAGCCCCAAAAGAGGTGGATTGTGAGATCTCATATCAGTTGGAGGGAAGAACGAAACATTTATTAGAAAGGTATGAAAACCTCCCTAATAGACGCATTGTAAAACCGTGAGGTTGACAGCAACACGTAACAGACCAAAACAGATAAATATCTATTAGCAATGGCCTAATACCGTCACGATCAAGTAGTGAAAAATAAACATTAATGAGTATGGTCACAAGGATAGAAGGAAACATGACACCATGCAATTGAGGCACGTGGTTGGAGGGCAAAAAATGGCTACAGTCCCACTAGCAAGCAAGTTTTGCTTCATAAAAGTTCAAACACCGCCCCCCCCATGATTCTCTCTAAACACGTACAAATAAGAGAGAGAGATCCAGAGGGATGAGATGATGTGAGAAAGAAAACAAAACATATGGTGTTGCCAACTTGCCTCCACAACATAAGGCTAGACAAGAAAGAAAGAAAAAGCCTCTCTCTCCCCCCATACTCAACTCATTCAATAGCATAGTCATATCCCACTTAAGATGATAAGCTTTGCTTTTACATCCTCCTCCTGCCAGGAAGAGTTCCCTCTCCTCATTATGAGTGAGAGAAGAAAGAAGGGAGGGGGAGCCCGTCATTAATGGATGGTTGCTTTATAACGCAAACTCAGGGAATGGATGTGACAAGCCATCAAATAATTGATCCTACAATGACCCATTTGAAAACGACCAATACAGAGTCTACTCAGCAAACAAAACTAGCAAACATATCAACACAGCCTTTTTTTTTTCCTTTTTTTATCTAATCTAGGATGTTCAGATAGCTCTTATGTAGTGCCTACACATTCTTTCTATCCGCATCGTGTTTGATCCTGTGTGATTTCTGCAATCATCACAGGACACCGACCGATGCGTTCTCGGCTTCCTCGGAGAGATGCCGGGAGCGTCGAGCGGAAAACAGATGCATTTTGCTATCGCAAAGAAAAAGGAAGAAGAAAGGAGGGGGGAAAAAAGCTCAGACAGTACCATTACTAGATGGAAATTCTGTCCATGAATAATTTGTGGCATTTATTACCCCATCCATCTCATTCTGATAAACAACAATCGTAAACTCAATAACCAGGGGCCTATGCTACTGGTACATGTGATTAGAAATAAACAACATTTAGCTAGAGAGGCAGGGTCTTTCAGTTCTCACATCTACTAACAAATTGAATCAAAATAAGTGGACTAATGATTCTAGTAGGATGGAGTACGAGTACCTGTGTCATCTGCCTGCTATTCGACGACTGATGGTTGGAGAGATATTCGTAGCAACAGGTCCTCCAATCCTAGCAAATGTTTTTCTTTCTTGATTCAATTGACAAAATGATCAATACTTGCTATCTGATCTTTTAATGCAGCTCTCTATGACCCATGCCTCCTCCAGCAGCTCTAGTTTACAGTTACCGGATATTGAAATGAAGAAATTAAACGTGGAACAATTAGAAACAAACTTATGAAAACTTGATTAGCCT